CATACATACATACATACATACATACATACATACATACATACATACATACATACATACATACATACATTCAATCGATCTGTGGGGAAAACAAGGACCCCTCGTCGAAGAAAAGACGTTGGGCAGGGGGTGAGTTCCTGAACCAGTAAACCCCAATTTTCGCCTTGTACAATCAATTATTTACTTTTGTATTTTACAATACTCCATCAAAAGCTTAAACTCGGATATGTTTGCAGCCTTCAGTTATTTCTAAACCGAATAAAGGCAGAATACAAAGAAATGAATAATGTGCCAAGCAGTGAGGAGGCTCCCTAAGTTAAAAACACTTGGATGCACATTCTTTCCTTCTGCAGAAAAAAAACCCACCAAAGAAGCCCACATAACCCTAACCCTAACCCTAACCCTAACCCTAACAATGAATTTAATCACTTTTGCGGTAAAGAGCGGAAGGGCGGGGCAAGAGCAACGCCTGGGTTTTCCGGAGGGAGGGGGGAGGGACAGGCGACAGATTCCAAAGACCAATCAGCAAGCGGGTGGGCGGAGCGAGAGATGCGCTTGGAGATCAGCGCTTGCTTCTTTTACCTCGCTTGCTCTGGATCTTCGTGTGCACTTCGGAGCTTTGCATACAATGATGGGAAAGTAAAAAGTTGGGATGTTAATGCCCATTTTACTGTAGCAGAAAGAGTCGGAAGTCAATGCTTCTTATCTCTCCTCGCTTCTCTTCCCCACTTGCCATATCTGCTCCGGGCTGTATGGATGCTGTTCCACTCTGCACCCCTCTGGCTCCTGGGGATGGCTGTGTGGTGATACTGCTGCGGTGAGTAACGCAGGGAACGGGACGAAACGCGGGCTGCAGCTTCCTCGCCAACCTTTCCCGGTTTTGTTCCCCGCCAGGGATCCGTTTCTGGCGCTCCGCCGATGCCCAGAAGGACTGCACGGACCTGTTGGGGTAGGGGCTTCTGGGTGGGATAAAAAGCACCTCGGAGTGCCGGGATTTGTCCTCGTGTTCTGCCGTTTCGCCTTTTCAGTTAAGCGCCCCTCTTTTTCAGCCGTCTATCCAGTACCCCTTCTTTCCCGGAGTTCCCTCCGCCTTAACGTTCATTGTTGCGCGTTTAGAATCTTGGCTTTCATTGCTGTACCTGTAGAATTTTGGCTTTCATTGTTGCGCGTGTATAATTTGGGCTTTCCTGCTGTTGAGGACTGAATGCGCTAACCTGGTCCCCCCCCACCCCGCTCCCCTCTCACACACATACTTCCTCTCGTTTCTCTGCTTTGATCTTTGTACATCTCCAGCGAAAGTTGCATTTCCCAGAAAAGGGGCGCCTTTGGAAACCCAAGGGGGAGTCGGGGCGAGGCTTGTTGCACAAACGAAAGGGTGTTTGGTGTTGGTGCGTGCGTGCGAGAGAGAGGGGGGGAGAAGGAGAGAGAAAGGGAGGGAGGGAGGGAGGGAGAGAGAGAGAGAGAGAACAATTAATCATTGGGAGTGCCTGTTGTGAATGCTCCCAACAGTTTTTAAAGAAGAGATTGGACAACCGTTTGTCTGAAATGATATAGGGTTTCCTGCCTGAGCAGAGGGTTGGACTAGAAGACCACCAAAGTCCCTTCCAGCTCTATTATTCTGTTCTATTAAAATCGGCTGAGATCAGAACTGCTTCTAGTGCTCCATCTGGCTGAT